CAAAGAGAGCATTCAAACGATGAAGTTGTAAACAACCTATGGTGTGCGCACAGTGACCACATCGAAGAGCTAACTTTTCTCGGGTTACACAGCTCCTCAGGACCGCTTGTTTCTCCATAAATCATGATTTATGCTATTTTAAACTGATTTCTTTTATAGTAGAAACTTTCAGCGGAATGACTATCAAAGAAAACGTTGTCTATACGTATTATTCTCTAAAGTGTCAGTAGTACAGGTTTTGAAATCATATAGTTTTAGGGTCCAATTCTGGCTTTCTGTTGGGACAGCGGGAACGTATGTGAATCTCCGAGTTTTGGTTTGCACGGGTAAGAAAACATCTCTTCCCTGTATTTCTTGAGAAGCACAAGTTATAGGCAAAACACCGGACACAGCAAAGTTCGCTCATGACAGCCCGAATCACAGTTTTTGAGCTTTTGCCTTCTCTTTCCGCTTTCTTCAGTTTCTGGGCTACGGCGTGGAGATCAGAGACCTCGCCATGGACTGGCACTGGGGTGGTCTGGGGAGAAGGGCGGGGGGCCGACGCCCAGGCCCGGCCCGGCCCTCATTGTCGGTTCACGTCCCACTCCCCCCAGTGATGGACACTGTGATTCCATCGTGGGCGGTGCGAATACCGAGGGTCCGGGGGCGGCCGGGTTCTGACTCCCAGGGAGGCCGCGGAGGCTTGGGGAGAACTGCCTTCGCCGATGCGCGGGATGGTCGGGTAGTTACCCCAAATCGAACAGACCCTTTGGGGTGACCCCTGCAGGGGATGACAGCGGGTAGCTAGACCCGCTTCCCCTGGGCTTCTCAGCTCAGGACGCTGGCAATCGAGTCGGCAGCCCGATGACCATCTCCATCCTTAACCACTGAAGGAGCGTCTGTGGGTGCTGGAGATCCCAGTGTGTCCACGGCGGGGCCATTGCTCTCCAGGAGGAGGGAGTCAGATTAGGGAGACTGGACACGTCAAAGAGGTGGAATCCTATAGATGAGACTCGAGATTGCACACCCCCCCCCAAAAAAAATCCTCTTAGATGAGCAAAAATAACATGTTTTAATAGGCAACTTGTAAACACTACTAGAGTAATGTTTCTCAACCTTTTGGATGGCATAGATCCATCCCTCCGACGACCGAACAAAAGCCACATTTACACACCTTAATGCACTTGCACTTGGTTTCAGGGATTGGTGCGTATCACAGTGGGCCTTGGACTCCAGGTTGAGGGCCCTTGTACTGGGCTCCAGACAGGAGAGTGACAACCAGAATTGCATCTTGTATATATTTTAAGCGGAAACATTGGAAAATCTCCATGTACATAAAATCTTAATGCCTAACATGTACTAGTAGGTATTTAATAACTTTATTGAATAAACTAGAGGCCCGGTGCACAAAACTCATGCGTAGAGGTCAGGGGGGGATCCCCTCAGCCCACCCTGCACCCTCTCCAATCCAGGACCCCTCAGGGGATGTCCGAAAACCGGCAGTCCGACGTCCCTATCAATTGGGGACCACTGGCCCCTAACTACTCACCTTCCTGCCTGCCTGGTCACCCCTAACTGCCTCCCCCGCTGGCCTGGTCGTCTCTTACTGCCCCCTCTGCCCACCTCTGCCGGCCTGGTCGCCCCACGCAGCCTGTTCAGTCATCTGTTTGGTTGTTTCGGTTGGGACGGTCGCTTAGGCTTTTATATATAGAGAGGGTCAAAGAGCCTATTTAGAAATTGAACCCCAGTTGCACCAGAATTGAATTAAATAGTCCTTGGATTAACTAGTCCATTCTCTTACTATCTGATGCAATATTTTCCCTTGTTTACATTTTTAAATTTACTCTTAAGGGTTTATTTCTAGCATAATAAATATCTTGAGGCTGACACCCAAATATAAATATGTTAAGGAAATGAGAAGCAGAAAGATGCAATACAGGAAGATGACTATTGACAAAGACACCAGTGATAAGATGAATCTATAAAGTAAAAGAAAAATTGAAGCTGACTGATGAGTTGCATCCTGGGAAATTTGAGGAGCACTGGTGCAAGTAAACATGGAGATGTGTTTAGTAGAAGGTGGAAAGAGCTATTTGGAGATAAATAGGAGAAGAGCAGTACTGCAGACAAGCAGAACAAGAAGAGATAATCCTCAGACTAAACTTAAATGGTGATCATTTTTTAGCAACACTTTAAGCAAAGATGTTTTTCACTAACATGAAATAGAAATGGAAATACCTAAATACTCAAGAAAGGGGAATAGTTTTTTAAAAGGATGAAATACTATGCACTATTTAAAATGATAGCAATGAAGCCCTAACCGGTTTGACTCAGTGGATAGAGCGTCAGTCTGCGGACTGAAGGGTCCCAGGTTTGATTCCGGTCAAGGGCATGTACCTTGGTTTCGGGCACATCCCCAGTAGAAGGTGTGCAGGAGGCAGCTGATCGATGTTTCTAACTCTCTATCTCTCTTCCTTCCTCTCTGTAAAAAATCAATAAACTATATTTTTTTAAAAGTTTAAAAAATAAAATGATAGCAATGAAAACTGAATATGAAAAGCTTATTATAAGTTTATTATTATGAGTTTATGATGTATGAATAGTGTGATTCTAACTATGTCAAATATTCATAGTTTAAAAATAGACCAAAAGAGGCCACTCAGAGGTTGAGTGTTGACCTATGAACCAAGAGGTTACAGTTCCATTCCTGGTCAGGGTACATGCCTGGGTTGGTGGCTCCATCCCTAGTGTAGGGTGTGCAGGAGGCAGCCGATCAATGATTCTCTCTCATCATTGATGTTTCAGTCTCTCTTTCTTTCTCTCTCTCTCTGTCTTCCCCTTCCTCTCTGAAATCAATGAAAATATGTATTTTTTTAAAATAGATCAAAAGAAAACAAGTCAGTATAGAATCTAGTAATATTAGAATGATGCAGTAATAAGTAAGTCATATGAATGAAGTCACATAATACAGTACAGATCCAGGGTTGGTAATTTGAAACAGTTTTTCATTTTTAATGTGCAATTATACATAGATGGGATTAACTTTTTTTTTGTCCCTTTGAATGTATCAGTGATGTTCCCAGATGTGTTTGTGTTTTTTAAACAAATACAGAAAAACTTGTTTCTGTGATAAATATATAGAAAGACTGTTATAAGTTGAGTATTTCAATATTCTGTTTATTTTCAGATGTGGATTTGCTGGAGAAACCAGTCCAAGATGCATAATTCCTAGTGTGATAAAAAAAGCTGGCCTGCCTAAGGTATTTTCTTAAACAAATTAGAAATAAACACTGTGATGTAAAATGTTTTTAAATGTGACTTCAAATAAGATTGATTAAAACAGTGCTGATTACATACCTTATTACTGTATTCCAAGAAAAAATTTTAAAATCTTTATTTAGTTTATGCATTCCATAAAGTTCACCTGTTTAAGTGTACAATTCACTGATTTTTTTTAGTAAGTTCTATAATCATCACCATAGTCCAGTTTTAAAACTTCTTTGTTATCCCAATAAGATTCCTAATGCCTATTTAGAATTTATACCCATTCCCACCGACAGCCAACCACTCAGTCTTTTTGTCTCTAAAGATTTGCCTTTTCTGTACATTTTATATAGATGGAATTATATAATATCAAGAGAAAGTTTTTAATCTTAGTAAAATAATTTTCTGAGCTTTATAATGTACCTTTATTCTTACTCTGTTCAAAATATAAGATGGGTCTTCAGTCCTTTATTTGTAAATTCCAAGATCCAAAGAACTGTGAAAAACATTTTTTTAAAAGACAGTTGTTTTTTGCCAAAGCTAATTTGGCAAATTAGGAATTGTACAACAGTAGAAAGAATAATTTTCCTTGCCATAAATTCACCTTTTAAAATCCAATATAGATATTTCTGCCATAACTTAATATTTGTGTTCCTGAAAAACCTCACTTTGATCACAAACAAAAACAGGCTTATGAAAAAACAGGTTTGGGGTAGACCATATAAAACTCATATAATTATAATCAGAACACTAGCAAAAACCAGTAATTGATCCCTCAGTTTGGCTTGCAACTGAATGTGGCTAGAGGGTGTCTTGGGGATATTAAAATTAAAAAGAAATGATGGATTGAAAATGTTGGTCAGTAAGTACTGAGACAATACAGATGAAACTGAGCTCTGAGCCAGCCAGTGGGGCTATTGTTAAGGTGGGACCAAGAGTAAATGCAGCCCAAGAAAGAGTAGTGAAAGGGTCCTAGCTGGTTTGGCTCTATGGATATAGCATCGGCCTGTGGAGTGAAGGGTCCTGGGTTCTATTCCGCTCAAAGGCACATGCCCAGCTTGCAGCTTGATCCCCAATAGGGGGTGTGCAGGAAGCAGCCAATCAATGATTCTCTCATCACTGATGTTTCTATCTCTCTCTCCTCTCCCTTCCTCTCTGAAAAGGGTCCACTCACAAGA